ATAATCGCAAGAGGACACCTGGCGCGATCTCAGCCCGTCACCTTTCACAAGTGTACGTCAGTCAACATTAGGGGTGGTTGCGGTTCGGTAACCGCGAATTTTTGCCTAAACCGCAAACCGACCGACTATTTGCGGTATGATGATTTTTGAAATCGTAAACCGACCGCTTTTTGCGGTTTACCGCAATTATCAGTTTAAAGCCGCAAGTTCTTTTTGTATCATAAAAATCCAATTTTCCATATTTTAGACCTAATTTTGATGCTTCTTTTGAAGCCTTTTGAGTTCAAGCATACTTTAACCCAAAAATATAAATTCACAACCTCAACTACTCAAGCATATAAAAATTCACAACCTCTTCAACTTCTCAAGCATTCACAACCTAAAGAAAATTAAAGTTACAATTCCAAGCATTCTAATTAAAGTTAAACTTATCAAGCATTCACAACGTCAACTTCTCAAGCATTCCAATTTCAAATACTTTAAAGTCACAAACCAGAAGGAAAATGCAATGCAAAATGAATTAAAGTTACAACCCAAAGGAAAAATCCAATTCAAAGTTAATTAAAGTTACAAACTAAAGGGAAAATGCAATGCATCAATGTTACAAACTCAAGTGTTGGTGGTGGTGAGTGGATTTGAAGGACCCTGTTGTGTTATTTGATCGCCAATGCTATCTACAAAATGATTTTTTTTAAAAAAAATATAGTTGCGGTTTGCGGTAACCGCAAGTTTTGAAAATCAAATAAAACCGGAACCGCAAATGTTGTTCGGTTCTTCATACCGCAAATGTGGTTCGGTTTCCCGCGATTGCGGTTCCATTGCGGTAAATTGTCAGTTGTTTTTTTGCTGTTTTTCGGTTTTTCAGTTTTTCGGTCTAAAATGCCACCCTTAGTCAACATGGCCACATCCTTGCCTTTTACCCTAAATTATTATTTTATTACTTTTTCTTAGGAAATTCATAACTAAATACACAAAAATCACAATAATGTTCCGAAAATTGCTACAAACTCATTGAGACTTCATCTTCCTATTGAATTCCCTGTTTCATGGTTACGCTACGTTAGTATTTTATTATTATTTACCCTAAATTAGTATATTACTTTTTAGCCTATACATTTGTTAATTATATTTACTCAAAATTTGTATTTTTATTTTTATTTTGCGTGCGAATAAACCATTTTGGATGCTAATCAGTTTCTCTCTTCTTCAATTTGTTAATTTTTTTTTTCTTTTTTTGGGTTAAGGGATGTTTTGAAAAATAAAATGGAAATATACAAGCCATCCATTCTACAACATCAGGAAAAAATTATTCAAAGTCATTTACTGTTCAAGTTTTGCTTAAAAAACGTGTAACCAAATTGTTTGGGATATGATAAGTGAGAAAATGGCATTCCCAAGCACCGGTGAAAAGACACCGACTCACTCCATGCATGCCTTTACGTTTACCAAATATTAAGATTGCAATTGTGCAAAATGGATGTGTCAGTTAAACGTCATTCGTACGCATCTATGATGTCAGTAATCATTCCACTAAATAATATATATATATATTATACATTTATATATAAAACGGTTTATGACAGCACAAACATCAGACAAAATATAGATTAATACCCAACATGTAAACAACATTTGTACAACGTAGCTAGCCAACCTAGAATTGAAGAGAAGCAAGTCCACAATGCATAAAAACCGTAAAAACATACTACAACTAATTATAAGGGTATGGATTCCCTGGCACAACAGACACACGCATCACCTTGAACCAAAAAACACTATCACGGTGCCATTTGCATCGATTGCAACAAGTCCAGAAGGCATGATTTATCTTTGCTTCAGTAGGCCAGCCTTGAATAACAAAACACCATTCATTGTTGTTACAAGTGCTGCAGTGATTGAACTTAATCTTCCCATAGTAAAACATATCTATGATGTGTCTTGCAATAGAGAAAACTCGGCTTAATCTTCGTCTCAAAGCATCCATGGTTCCTTTCATATCAATGTTGTTACGTTGATTCAAAGAACACAAAAATTCTAATGCATCCTCTTTTGACTGACCAATTCCGGATATGCCAAGTAGTCCAACTAGATATGCCGCTTCCATATGGCTTGCCGTGGTTGCAATGCATATCCCATACAACGCTTCCACGTTACCCTGCATGAAAAACACTTCGAACGCTTCTCTAAATATCGACTCAGGGTTCTCGCAAGCCCTGCATTGTTGTAAGAAAAGCTGGATCGCAGGATTGGCATGGTACCAGCTAGGATGGTCTGGGTACTTTGCCATTGAAATGGTGTTCTACACTTATGGAGTGTTTGCCAATGTATGGAATAATGGGCACACAGATGCCATATGGAAGAGATCTTTCGATGATTGGGTTGCCACGTATAACATCACTTTAAACCAAGCTAACTACGAATGAAGGCTTGGGGCATATCCAAATGGAGATGCTTCCTTATCTTTCCTCCGAGTGTAGTGAAATGTTTCGAATTCATTGAAATGTTTTTGGAATGGAATGATTTGAGGAGTGGAAGAGGGGAGAAATGAAAATATATGGGGTTTTGGTTTTGTTTTAGCCTCTGTTTGTAGTATTTTGAAAAGGTGCTTCCACTTGGGGTTTTTCCAAGTTGACCCTTTTTAAAGAAATTGAACCCAACACCCTAAAACTCAAGAGAAGAGAAGAGAAAACATCATCGAAATGCAAAGAGAGTCAGCCAGTCAAAAAGTCAATTAATAACCTATTTACATAGCCATTTTAGGATTTTTCCGCCATCACATTCATTGATATAAATGTGATGGATTACTGACTAGTCACAGAAGTCCCATCATATACTTTTTCATTTTCCCACACTAAACTAACCCTAGTAAGGTTATTAAAATGAAACCAATGATGATGGATTCTTATCTAACTAGTAGGGTTAATGAAATATAATTAAAATAATATATTTTAAGCAGTGCCCTATCAATTTTATGATTAATATTTGGTAGTGAAATATTATATTGGTTTTTGGGGTAAAAGGTGCCACAATTCTGACAATACAGGTGTCCAGATCGTGACCAACCCACCCACATACAGAAAAGAAAGATATAATTCGATTTGGGTAGAGATGAGAGAGAGCTAAGTGAGAAGTTTAGGGTTATGAGTGAAGGGGTATGATTGAGAACTATGAGTGAGAAGGTATGAGTCTGAAGAGGTTTCAGTGAGAAGAGGTATAAGTGAGAAGATTCAACATGTCTTCATCCTCATCTCCCGCTCAAACAAAGAGGTGTTAGTATTGTGGAGCTGCAATGGTGCTTTGGGTTTCAAAATTAGATAAAAATCGAGGGAAGCCATTTTGGAAGTGCCTAACCTCCTATGTAAGTTTTCATTTCCAGAATATGTATGTGGGTTAAAAAAAACCTAAGTCTAACTCTAACAGAATTATTTTACATATATGATGCCTGCAATTAGGGAGCCACTAGTTGCAATGGATTCGAATGGGTTGATGTAACCTCCGCTCAAGCAGAACAACAAGATGACACGTATGATGCTACGGTGCTGAATATGCTGAAGTCCATTAAGGACTTGGTATTAGTTTTATTACTTATATCAATTTTCATATAATTTGTTCTTTTAATGACCAATTAAGTGCACAGTTTCAAGGATTGTAAAAGTTCTCCCCAAAAATACATGTTGCACGCATCACCAATGAGTTTTCAAACCCATTTTATAATTTTTGTTGTTGAAATAGGTGGATTGGCATTGAGTTTAAATTATTTTTTTAAACAACAACATTTATTTGTCTGAAACTCAGCAAAAACTTTCCAAGACTGACTTAAAAAAACTAAAGTCATACAATGACGATAAAATCACAATACAGGACCAATACGATGCAATAATAAGACAGTACATTTTTTTTTAAAATTGCATAATTATTCAGTGTATATAGATTGTTTATTTGCGTATACTGAAGGTTTATTGATTGTTTACTGCATGTTATTGCTCGGATATTGAATGTTTATTGAAGGTTTATTGATTGTTTACTGCATGTTATTGCTCGGATATTGAATGTTTATTGAAGGTTTATTGATTGTTTACTGCATGTATTTCGCATATTATTGCTCCGATATTAAACGGTTATTGAAGGTTTATTGATTGTTTACTGCATGTATTTCGCATATTATTGCTCCGATATTAAACGGTTATTGAAGGTTTATTGATTGTTTACATGTTTATTGAAGGTTTATTAATTGTTTACTGCATGTATTTTGCATGTTATTGAGCCGATATTGAATATTTATTGATGGTTTATTGATTGTTTACATGTTTATTAAGGTTTATTGATTGTTTACTGCATGTATTTCGCATGTTATTGGTCCGATATGGAATGTTTATTGAAGGTTTATTGATTGTTTACTGAATGTATATCGCATGTTATTGCTCCAATATTGCATGTTTATTGGGGGCAAAAGTACCACTCAAGTAAGATTTAAGAAGGGAAACGGTCATTATTTTTTCTTTTAGTAGGAAAAACAACTGTTAAGTAGAATTTCCTATTCAATACGACTTCCTTATGGGTGGTGTAATTGGGGACTGATGTATATTGCATGTCTATTGCGTGTATATTGCATGTCTATTGCATGTATATTGCATGTATATTGTATGTCTATTTCGTGTATATTGCTTGTTTGTTGTGTGTATATTGCTTGTCTGTTGCCTGTGTATTGTTGTTTATTTCCTTCGTAATCAATAAACAATAAACAATCTCCGTAAGCAATAAGCATGCATCCGTTATAATATTTGCCACTATTTTGGTTCTAATTGTTATTGTTCAATAACTTAAACCTAAAATTATGTATAAAAATACACTAAGATTGAGAAAGACAAAGAAGAATTGAGGAGCAAAGGTAGAATTCGAAAAGGACCCATGGGTCTATATTGTGTATTTACATGAGTTTCAAATTGGAGATTCCCAAAACTAATTTAATCATCATGTACCTAAACCAAGTTCAACCAATATCATGGCATGTAAGCATCTCCCCGTAATATCTCTGCAGCCAACTTCAACCGAAAAAAGGGCATGTTCTGCAAGGTGCAAGTAGCTAATCGAATATCAGCGCTCAAAAGCTCAATGTACTTCAACACGAACATGCCACAATCGCCTCTGAAGCAAAACAAGAACTCGATCAATTCAAGTAATGACATTCTAACGTAATTGACAATTTAAAGTAATAAAATTAAATAAAAAGTTGTGTTCACTGATTAGACTGTTGTGGAACATCCACACGTTCTATTGGCCATGGACACCACCAATCTCGGCTACAATCGTTTGCGTAAACACCTTCTTCATAAAAGTCGATGGTGTTGAGAAGATTTGGAATCGTAATTGAAAGCGGGGCGAGTTCTTCCTTTAAGATCTCATCTGGAATAAGTGAAACCATTGAATCGTACACTTTGATTTCACACTTAACCAGATCAATCATTATAGCCATCCAATGCTTATACTTCGTCAACATACAAGGGGCATGCACCTTATACGCGTTCTGCCAATCCATCCCACATGCCGGAACCTTGCCATTTACAACGTTCAGTAAACTGTTTCTAATTTTCCACCAAACCTGCTCTTTTTTCTTTTATTATCCGCAAAGCAAGTATGGATGTGATTCTGTGAAATAGAAAACAATAAATGGTTAAACAACTCCACAAAGCAAGTATGAATAATTTGTAATTATTAACTGCGTTTGGTCAAGGCCTATGACATACCATAAAAAATACATCGGTCGTTGTCCAGTCCGATATTTCTACAACCTCCAACTCTTGTGGTCGCTTCCGGATGAGATACAACCCCAAATCAATGTGCTGCACATGTTTTTCTTGTCAATCTCATAATCTATATACTTCAAAACAAATGCATAATAAATTAAACTTACATCTCCTTTCAGCCAACCATCAGCTTTGACGAGGGAACCAAAGAATTCAATCTCAGCTTCCACGTTGCTAAATTGCATCACTAAACTGTGAATATAAAAAAGTTTTAGAATACAACAATTAAAAAATATATACATTCATGCCTTCTATCTCAAAAAACAAGGGATTTAGTTTGGGTTATGGCGCCATTCCCAACAAAGTTTCAGTAATTTCACCATATCATCATGTCTAACATCCGAAGTTGGGTTGTCTCTGGCACGTTTTTTTCACCAATTCACTAGCTTCAATGATCTTCCACATAGGAATAATCCTCTTCCTCTTCTGTAATTGGACCCCTTGTTCCACAACTTTACCTTCATCATTCAACCAAACGTTTAACTGAGATAGCACAGCAGTGGGTTGATCCAAATTAATATCCCCGACAGTAAACTCAACCTTTGTCCCTTCCGTGCTCTCGCCAATGTCATTGCCAAGCAACATAACTTCATCATCCTCTTCCTCACATTGGTTTATTTGCACTTCCTTTTCCTCACTTCTTTGTCTTTTCACTTCCTTGCCACTTTCTTTGCAATTCTTCTCCCTCATTGCTTTTTCTTTTCACTTCCTCTCCCTCACTGCTCTTTCTTTGCGCTTCCTCTCCCTTGCTGCTTTTTATTTTCACTTGCTTTCCCTCACTTATTGTTTTTTGCGCTTCCTCTACCTCACTTGGTTTTCTTTGCACTTCACCCCCTTCAATCCCCTTATCTTTCTTTTCCTCTCCCTCATTTATGTTACTTGGCCCTTCATCCCATTGAATGTCATCCACTTCCTCACATCCCTGAAATAAATGTGAGATGGCACAATGATTCATCCTCTCTTTTAGTAAAGCTAGGTCCCTCTTTACTTCCTGCTCAAACTGAGAACCTAAATAGTGGTCCAAAAGTTTTTTCATCTGTATGACCTTTAACTCAAGGACGTCCTTTTTCCGCTTTACTTGAAACAACTCGGACCTCAACAAGCTTACCATCTTGTTCAACTCATTAAGGTCAGCACATGAAGAAGGAATTGACTTTGCCGAGACAACAGCAGGGCGATCCTGTGGCCAACTCCAATATGGTTGTCTCATTTCCTCTTCACTCGGACGTAGCGCCCGCAACTGAACTGACTGTTTCAGAATACAAACAAAATTCATATTCAATCATTCTACTTAATAATTTCATTGAATCTTATAAACCGTTTCAAGGGCTGCAAACCAAACCTCTTTGCTCGGGAAAAAATAATTGTTCAACTTTCTCATCTCGGGAACAAACATAGTAGTTCTCCATCGCAAAATACGAGAGACAGCTGTTGGATCAACAACCTTGCAGTAATTAAGGTCTGCCATTCTATGAATTAATTCATATACGAAAATCTACACAATTCACAGGACAAAAGTCATTATTTAAGTTTTAAAATCCACAAAGCATAATTGACATGCATATTATTACCAGGTACCTGAAAAGCATACGTGAAACCTCTAAAACTCCAGCCACCCCTTTGCACTTCACCATGCTTATCCTTCTTGCCCTTCTCATTTCTCTGGCTTGTTCCCGTTACCTTACTTTTCCCCTTCCCTCTTCCCTCTTCATTTTCAGAGCTTTTCATATACTTTGTTGGTGCAGAAAATAGACTGTCTTGGGTTTTGTTAAAGGACACCGAACCCCACGGATACCTGTTGAATGCATCGAAGTCCTCTACAAGGGTCAGGTAATTTAGATTGATGTTCAAATGCTTGTCCCTTCCCAAAACCACTAACTCAGCAAAGTAAACAAGAGCTAGCTTGTAGATATCATCTTCCTCTGTGCACCTCAGAAATGCTTCTTCTAAAGCATTACATGTAATTCCTTCATCTATAAAATATCTTTTATGAAGTCTAATTTCATCACTTTCTCCATTGGAAACTTTAGGCACTTCCCCAAAACGAAACCTAGTGATCAAACAGAAATCCTGACGAGTGAACTGAGCAACGTCGCACGCTATTAAGAAACTCAGTCCATCCAAGTCTTTCACACCCTGCCCCGCTACTCTACGCAACACAACCCCATGCACAATCTGCCCGCTAAATTGAATCTTATCTATATTCAGAAGATGGCCAAAGCATGATGTCTTGAATTGTTCTAATTGTTCAGCAGTCAACTTCGCTCGATTTGCAGCTAGGGATGAATTTGCATGTGAGCAGTTGTTCACCCATGACGAATATGCCTCTGACTCTGGCCATACCAGCTCCACGTTGGATCCCATTTCCTGAAATACAAGATGAAATAACGTGAACACATATACTACCACGTATTTGCACAATCATATTGGTATTTACACAACTAGTCAACCAGGCACATTACAAATTTTACGAAGTACATGCGCATAGGGATTACTGATCACATGCTTTAACATCATCAAAACAATATGACAAATTTTGTGCAAATACCTGTTAATGCAATAATTCTGTGAATTACAAGCAATAGCATGTGTTTTATTTATGGATCTAAACTCCAATCAATGGTTGATGCATGAGTGAGTGTGAGTGCAATCTAGGCAAGTTCTGCACTTCACACACCTAACAATTATTGTCATCTCATACACAACACAAAATAAATAAATAAATAAATAAGAAATATGGTGGAAGGAAGCAAAGCAAAGCATCTGCTCTGCTATTTGCTTGCTAAGCCATTGCTACATCCTTCTTTCTTTCTAGCTTTTTCTTCAGTCAGCCACAATCGTCATAGATCAACCTTTATTTCAAATGCTTTGCACTTTTATTCATGAGTTTATTATTATCTGTTCTCATTTTTCACAGGCAAATTTAGTAACAAAGGAAATAATATTTATTTCAAAAAATATATAAATTCTAGCAACAGAGAGGTAATCTGCAGTGCTTCAAATGTGGAAGGTTTTGAGGGCCTCCTCCAATTCAACACCATTATCTTATTCCTATCATTATTGACATGTTATTGACTTGATTTTCATTCAATTTTTAACATATATCCAAGCAAAACTTAACATGCAAATGAAGCACAAAGAAGAGATGCCAAATCCAACAACATTGATGGTACAAATTGGGGAAAACCGTTACTCTAACCCCAATTCAACACCATTTTCTTATTCCTATCATTATTGACATGTTATTGACTTGATTTTCATTCAATTTTTAACATATACCCAAACAAAAATTAACATGCAAGTGAAGCACAAAGAAGAGATGCCAAATCCAACAACATTGATGGTACAAATTGGGGAAAACCGTTACTCTAACCCTAAACTTAAATTCCATAAATTACTTACCAAATGCTGGTTATTGAACAATAGCAAGGTGTCTGTGCGGGGTCTTTGTGGGGCTTTGCTCCACAAATGGAACCTATCACTTCCAATGAATATGGCTTCTCTCCTTCCCCTTCCACTGCTTCGCCCTTTCACTGTTTCGGAATCCAAGCCTGTCACGCCCCGGACCCGGGGGTTGGTGGAAACCCCTACGCCAAAACATGAGTTTAAAATAAACTTCTCTTATAAAAATAGCTCCAAAATCTTACAACTTTACAATTAATAAATAAAGCTCTACTACTCTCATCTAATTCAGCCTCAATCGATTTAGTCATCGTCTTGCCCACTAATTCATCTGAAAAATTAAATAGGGTGAGGGGTGAGCAATCACAGCTCAGTAGGGACATGAGACCTTACCACAGTAGATTGATATAACTAAGTTAAGTGACAAGCAATCACACAACCAAATATCACATTAATAATAATAATATATAATAATAATGCATGAATGCTCTTCAATTCTAATCCCGTTAATTCATATAATTGGACAAGCAGACCTGCACGTCCCATACCATGCTTATACCACTTGGTCCCGAATGCCCATTTATATGAACTAACACCCATTTCAATCATCCCATAATTCCCCTTTTGTTAGTCATCTTGTCTAACTCCCTTTCGCCAGTCCCGAATCACCCAATAAAA